AGAGAGAGAATATCTTTGGGGTAACTCTAAGCAAGCAACTGAAAGACTTATATAATAGAAACTTTTAAGACACTGAAGACAGAAATTGAAGATGCTATCAGAAGATATCTATATCTTCTAGAAGATGCTATCAGAATGATCTTCAGGGTTTATGGATCTATAGGAATAATATAGTGCACACAGCTGTTGTAGTAAAAGCCACTTATAGATTATCACAATCCCTGTCAAAATTCCAACACAATCCTTCACAGAAACTGAAAGGACTATTTTTTGCTCTATGTAGAAACAGAAAAAAGTAAAACCAGGATAGCTGAAACAATCCTGACTTCAAAGAACTGTTGGAGGTATTACCATCCCTGATCTCAAGTTATACCACAGAACTATCGTAATAAAAGGAACATGGTGTGAGCATAAGAACAGACATGCTGATCACTATAATGAAATTGAAGACCAAGACATTAACTACACACACCTACAGATAGCTGACTTTTGACAAAGAAGCCAGAAATACACTCTGGATAAAAAAGAGTATTTTCAAGAAATGTTGTTGTTACACTGGATGAGTGCATGTAGAAGAATGCAAATAGATCCAAATTTATCCCCCTGCAAAATTCAGCTCCATATGGGTGAAGGACTTCAGCATAAGTCAAATATCCTGAATCTGACAGAGAAGAAAATGAGGGTTAGTGTTGAACTTGTTAGCACAGGAAAAGGCTTTCTGAATAAGATACCAATAGCACAGGCAATAAGACCAATGATTAATAAACAGGACCTCATGAAATTGAAAATCTTCTGTATGGCAAAGGACACTATCATGGGGACAAACCTTCAGGCTACAGAATGAGAAAAGAATTTTTTTTTACCAATTATATATATGAGAAATAATTAATAGCAAAAGCCTTGGAGGGATAGTCCATAACCCCTTTCTTGTAGCCTTGATGTGAAAACCGGAACCACGTGGCTGAAGCTACCAATTTAACTTCCTGCAGATTTTTTTAAGGCAAGGGCAAAAAGTAGTACACTCTTTACCAAAACCTCACAGGAATGGGGTCTAAGCCACTTACTAATACTCTTCCCCTATGAAACTTCCTAAGCTGTCCCCTCCCCATGTTTCAAATCACACTTAGCAAGGTTTTCCATGTGCCTACAAGGATTGCCCAGTAACACCTGTTTTGAGCATCCAACAGTTTTCTACTTCAAAGTCCCATAGAGTTCCAATACACAGCATGATCATTTCTGTCATAGCAATACCCCAGTCCTTGGTACCAACTTCTGTCTTAGTCACTGTCTTACTGCTGTGAAGAGACACCATGACCAAGGCAAATTTTGCAAAGGAAAGTATTTAATTTGTTGTTTGATAACTCTTTCAGGGGCTTAGACCACTCATTATCATTGTAGGGAACATGGCAGCAGGCAGGCATAGTGTTGGAGAAGTAACTGAAAGAGCTACATCCTAGTCTGTAAACACACACACACACACTCACAGAGAGAGAGAGGGGAGGGGGTTGGTTTGTCTTTTGAAACCTCAAAGCACATCCCCAGTGATACATTTCCTCCAATCAGGTCACACCTTCTCCAACAAGGCCATGCCTCCTAATCCTTCTTAATAGTGCCACACTCTGACGACTAAGCATTCAAATATATAGCCTTTGGGGGACAGTTTTATTCAAAACACCACAAATATCCTTAATGATCACAGAAACACATACCAAAAATACTTTCAAATTTCATCTTATGTAGAATGAAAAAAAAATCAATAAAAAAATGACAACTCATGCTGGTGAGTGTGTCGGTAAAGGGAACACTCATTCACAGCTGGCTGAAGTTCAAACATGTACAGCCTGTATGTAAATCAGTGCTTGACACTGCTTGGGTGGCTAAGAAGCTGAGACTAGATGGATCCTCTACCTAGGAAAAATCCAAATACTTCTGTTCTGCTAAAGTAACAGCAACAAAATGACTCCTAACAACATTCCGCTATACCTATATGTTGTGGAATATTGTTTTAATTGAGCAAAGATGTGTTATATGTATTTATGTTGCAGACTATTACTCTTTAACTTTGTGAAGGTGTGTTACAGTTGTTTCTGCTGCCTTTGTTAGTGATGTAAGGATGTGTTACATGCGTTTATGCTGCATTTGTTTAATTATGAAAAAAGATGGGTTGCTCTTTCACCTTGGCTGCCTGTGGCACCTGATTGGTCTAATAAAGAGCTGAATCCCCAATAGCTTGGGAGAGAAAGGATAAGTGAGACTGACAGGCAGAGAGAATAAATAGGAGAAGAACTCTAGGTTCAAGGGGAAAGAAGAAGAGAGGAGAGAATGAGGGAGGAGGAGAGGGACATGCTGGGGGCCAGAAGCCAGGCAGCCACCAGCCAGACATGAGAAGCAATGAAAGTAACATATACATACAGGGGGGGGGGCAAAAAGCCCTGGGGGCAAAACATAGATGAAGAGAAACAGATGAAGTTAAGTTAAACAGAGCTAGCCAGAAAAGAGCCTAAGCTAGCCTGAGCATTCATAACTAATTATAAGTCTTCATGGCATGATTTGGGAGCTGCTTGGTGGCCCAAAAGAAAATGCCTGGTATACCTATAGATCATTGTCTCAATAAGCCATCATCAGAGAAGGTCCCTCCTTCAGTAGATGGGAATAAACACAGAGACCCACAATTGGACAGTGGGCATAGAGTGAGAGACATTGGAACACTAAGCCCTAAATGGGATGTCCCCATCAAATTCCTACTTTCAGGACTCAGGGAACTGCAAAAAAGGGGAACAATTGTAAGAGCAAGAGAGGGTGAGTGATTCCAAGGAAGCAGTGTCTTCCAGATACAGCAAGACTGAAACACATATGAATTTATAGAGATTGTAAGCAGCAGGGAAGAACGCTCTATTTAGGCACCTGTTTGCCTTCCCCATGTACATTGAGATAGGTAAGTGTTGTCTTCGGCAACAGGGTCTTACCATCATCATACACAGGGCCTGCACAGGTCTAAACCAGATGGGATCCAGAACTGAGAGTATAGACCTTAATTCTAATGGACCTCAGTTCTAATACCAAACAAAAAGCTTTCCCAAATTGACAACTGCTCACAAAGGAACATTTAGGTTCCCCAAGGGTGTCTCACTAGGCATACAATTCACACTTAAAGGCAGCCCCATACTCAGCAGTCACTGGCCAGTGCAAAATGAATTCAAAGGTATTTTGGAGATATTTTTGTCTCATATTGCTTTGTTAGCTTGATTTTTTTTGTATATTATGGTTTCTGATTTTGTGTTTTTATGGGTTTCGTGTGTGTGTGTGTGTGTGTGTGTGTGTGTGTGTGTGTGTGTGTGCATGTTTATGTGTTTTTCATGTACTTTCTTGTTTGTTTCCGTTTATTCTTGTTTTTTTTTCTTTTTTTTTTTTGCTTGTTTGTTTTCTTGAGAGAAAGATATTTCTTGAAGTGTGGGGAGCTGGAAAGTATCTTGAGGGAGATAAGGGAGAGGAAATTAATCAGAAATATTGTATGCAAAAAGATTTATTTTCAATTAAAAAAGATACTATTTGTTGACCACTGTATATTTCATCAGATCCTAAAACTTGTGAATGAAAGGTCGAATTCTTATGCTGATGGAAAATATTTCAGGAAGGAATATAGAATATTTAAAAAGCTATAGAAAATAACACTCATATCTTATTGAGGCATATCAATGTTAATATCAGGTTTGTTCTATAAAATTAGTGAATGTGTCTTCTTCTAAAGAAGAGTATATGTGCCAAACGTGTCAAAAATACAGTTTTAGTACCAATAACAGTTTTACATGATGTGCATTTGAGTATTTAACAGGGTGTAGCTGACTATGTAGTTACTGTACAAAGGAATGGCTATCTAACCCTCTGCAAGTTGAGATGCATAGACTTTGGTTTTGGATAGGTATGTGTTTGAGTGACTACATTAATCTTGGAGCTAATTTGTATTTATAAGTTCTACACAATGAAGCACTTTTTATTTAAATAGTGAAAATGAAATCACATTAAAAGAAACATTGAATGGAAATGACTAGAGTGAACTTAACACATTATCTATGCTCAAGGAATACCATAATTATGAGGTCATGTTTTATGCTCTTCCAAGGAAGACAACTATTACGTACATACTATGCATTGGTCAGAAGTATCTATGCCAAGAATGCAAACAATAAATCCTAGGCAAGCCTGGTTGTATAGAGGATGAACCAGAAATTTTGAAAGGTAGTCATTTTTGTGTTAATTGAGTTGATTCTGTGGCACTTAGTTACACACTTTTTGAAACTATGTATTTAAAAAAACTATATATTTTATATTAAGGTAGATTGCAGAATTTTCTAGTCAAATACATTGACTTATGAAAAATAATAGCAGATGCTTAATCTCACCTTTATAATTAAATTTAAGCCAACTTAATTGATTTTGTAAAATTAGTAACAGCAGAAGTAAAACATTTATCGTTTTTAAAATTGTGAAGGTAACCACCAGGTGGCGCTCTATGAATTGAGTCTGTGGTAGTCCATAGAAAATTGATGATTAAATTTGTCAAGTCAAGGAAGGTGATGGTACTCCTTTTCTGAGTATGTTTAATTAATTTCATTATTTGTAGTAATGAATGAATTTTAAAATAATAATGTATTGTTATTAAAGACAAAACACAAATGATTTGATTGGCATAAGATTTTTTTGTTTTGTTTTGTTTAGGTATGTTTTTCTTCTTGTCTTTTGAGTAAGAGTTTCACTATGTAGCTCTGGCTGACCTGAAATTCACCATATACACCCCAAGCTAATCTCAAACTTACATAAACATGTCTGCTTCTGCCTCTAGAGTGCTAGGATTCAAGGTGTGTGTCACCACACCCAGCTTGACTAGCATAAAATTTATAAGAAAAATCAATCCAATTAATCAACGTGGTACTGAGAACTTTTCTAATACTTATTTTCATTCCTTTATTTGTTTGTTTGTTTGCTTGTGTCTTTCACCCCAGTACCTGAAACTAAAAAAGGTGAAATGATCTCCAAAGCAGGTAAGGGTACTAGTGGTTGCTTGTATAGGAATAAATTGTCTTTGGTGTTTGATAAAGGATGACTTACAATCTAGGCAAAGGAAAGCTGTGAGCCTTCCCAAACATAGAGAAAACAAAACAAATAAAAACAGCAGCACATCTTCTTTATATATTTTAAGTTTATAAGCAGTAAGATTGTATGTATGTTAAAAATGAAATATGCCTTTAAATAAAACATATGCTTTTTGGAGACAGTTTTTGGGCAAGTCCATTTAACCAATAGAACCATTACCAACCACTGTTTCTTCTTTACATACACCGCAAATAAACACTATTTCAAAACATCAAGTAATCAATAGGGATCTCAAATCTAACCAGAGCATGATAAATGCTAGAAATTTATCTACACGATTTGATGATTGGTTGAGTGTGACACACTTACTTTCACCTACATTCAACCAATCTTTATTTTAAACTAGTAGTGTCATATAGCACAAAGCATAAATTCTATCGTTTTCTTTTGGATATGTACCTTTGGGGAGGTAACTCTTTACCTTTGGATTTTAATTTAAAATTTCTACTATATGTATTTATTTTTATATTTATTTGTTTACTGTGTATGTTGCGCTCAGGGGGGGAGGTGTTGGCATACCTCTGGGGTTCAGAAGACAACTTGAAAAAGCCAGTTTTCTTCTTCCTGTAGAATGATTCCAGGGATGGAGACACAGATTGAAAGGATCGGTGACAAGCATGAGTCCCCTCCATTTATCTCCCTTGTCTACTGTACATTTTCTAAAATCAGGGTTTTGTAAGGGAGGAAATGAAGACTAGCTGAGTACTTAGAGAAAATGGTAGAGGTTGAAGAAGAAACGTTATCAAACAGGTGAAACACACACCATAATATAAATCCAGAGCAAAATTCTAATTAATGACAATCTTTCTAGTGTCACCTAGGCAATAGGTGATTGTGGCTGTATCTCTGTCTCTCTGTGTAGTGAAAATTGGCTCTACAGAAAGACAAGCATTGTACTTTTGGTCTAAGAACATTTGCACATTTCCCTTTGCACATTTTCTAGCATACATCTAAGTATCTCTCCATCTTACATACATCTCTCCATCTTACATTTAATATTAACCCAAGTGATCATTTAAACTTTTCATAAAAGTAATACCATAATCTGAAAGAAGTTTAGTGAGTCTTCTCATTTTTAGTGAGTGAATATAACCATTTTAAGTGACTTATAATCTTAAAGCACTTGGTCTCGGGAAGAACGCACAAAAAAACCAAAGATAATACAGACTGAGAAGATAGTGTTAGCTTTATGCTCAGTGGAAAATTTTACAATTTTAAACTGTAGGAAAAATGAGTAGGATAATGACAATGATCTATTCCTGTTCCATGCTTCTATCAAAAGTCAGATAGAAATGAAAAGGAAGAACAGTATATAAAATATGCTGTGTTGTTAGATCTTCCTTATTAGTTTCAATGAAAGCTTCCTAATACATAAAAGCCATATTGCAGCATCATTTCGTGTAAGCATGGTATTGCCTTTTACCCTGTATTTTGATGCTTGTATCTAAAAAAAAAAAAAAAAAAAAAAGGGCAATATACATATGTGGTGATATTGTGTTCCCCAAAATATTGTGCACCCTAATAAATTTATCTGGGGTCAGAGAACAGAATAGCCACTAGATACAGAGGCCAGAAAATGGTGGCACACACACCTTTAATCCTATCACTTGGGAGGCAGAGATCCATCTGGATCTCTTTGAGTTCAAAGCCACACTGGAAACAGCCAGGCATGGTGACTCATGCATTTAATCCCAGGAAGTGATGGCAGAAAACAAAAAGGTATATAAGGCATGAAAACCAGGAACTAAAGCCTGGTTAAGCTTTTAGGCTTTTAGCAGCAGTTCAGCTGAGATCCATTCGGATGAGGACTCAGAAACTTCCAGTCTGAGGAAACAGAATCAGCTGAGAAATTGGCAAGGGAAGGTGGCTGTGGCTTGTTCTGCTTCTCTGATCTTCCAGCATTCACCCCAATACCTGGCCCCAGGTTTGTTTTATTAATAAGTCCTTTTAAGAGTCATGCTACATACATACTATCAACACATTATTATCAATCACGCTAAATATTCTTCTGCTGTATGAGATATTTATTTTTAACTTTCTTGAAGAAAGAGACTATGTAAAAGATAAAAATAGCTTTTTATTTTGCTTTATGACATTGAGATCATTTTGGACTACCAAAATGAAAGAATTATAAATGTTATTTATAATATTTTTATTCTAATATGCATATCAGGAATCTTGACTGCCATTCACTTGCTGTTAGCCTCTTCTTTATTCTGCCCCTCCCCCATCCCACTGTGCTTTTCCCATCACATGAGAAGAAATATACAGTTTCTAGAACTGGCTTAAGTGAAAAAGAATATTTTAACTATTAAAGACCGCACTAATTATAACAAAAAATTTTAAATTTTAAATCATGCACACAATTCTGTTGAAAATGTATATCACTGTGATATGCTTAACATGAAGATATTTTACATTAAAAACCAGTTTGCAGATAAGAGAAAATAAAAAAGAAATAAGTACAAATATCATTTTAATAAAAAATAATCAACCAGCAAACGAATGAGAACATATAGCACACTTAGTGTTACTGCCGTGTGTCTGCAATTGTACTGGTGATTATTAAATCTACAAACTTGTGAGAAGATGGTCTGTCTTTTCTTTCCAAAAGTTATAATCATGAACTATTTCAACCTGATTAACAGTATTCGTGAAGAGTGTTCTAGGATTCTAGATGGCAAAAGCATTCCTACAGTGTGTAACCATCAGTAAAATTCTCAGAGTGATGGTGTATTTAAATTCTAATTTCGGAATACATAAGAGCCACTGAGAAAGGAAGTTTATTACAATGATGGAGACTCTGTTAACTTTATGCTAGAAAGACATCAACTTGTCTCTCTTTGCCACTTACTTTTTTTTTTTTTTTTTTTTTTTTTTTTGGTTTTTCGAGACAGGGTTTCTCTGTGTAGCTTTGCGCCTTTCCTGGGACTCACTTGGTAGCCCAGGCTGGCCTCGAACTCACAGAGATCCACCTGGCTCTGCCTCCCGAGTGCTGGGATTAAAGGCGTGCGCCACCACCGCCCGGCTCTTTGCCACTTCTTAAAGATGTGGTTTAATTGGTGATATTTTGTTTATGCTCTAACACATCTTGCCCGGAATCAGAGTGCAGAGCTAGCCACTAGAGGCCAGGCAGGCATAGCACACACCTTTAATCCTGGCATTTAGGAAGAGGAAACAGGAAGTGATATGGCTGGGCAGAGAGAGGAAGTGATAAGGCAGGGTGGAGACAGGAGCTAGGCTCTTTGGGTCTGTGGATTCGGCAGAGGTAAGAAGTCTTTCTAGTGGCTGGCTGCTCTGCTTGTCTGATCTTTCAGCTTTCACCCTGATATCTGGCTCTGGGTTTTTATTATTAAGACCAATTAGAATTTGCCCTACAATTTAGAATTGGGGATTTGGGGATAAATTCTTTATAATAATCTAAGTATTACAAAATAAAACATACCACATTCATGCTCTGATATAGACAAGATATAATGATCCTAAGATGGTTCTGATTAATTATTTACTCTTCAGTTAAGATTTCTATTGCTGTGAAGAGGCAATATGACCACAGCAACTCTTATAAAAGAAAACCTTTAATTGGGGCTGGCTTACAGTTCAGAGGTCTAGTCCATTGTCATATCAGTAAACATGGTGGCTTGCAGTCAGACATGTTGCTGGATAGTAGCTAAGAGTTCTGCATCTGAATCATCAGCAGCAAGAAAAGAGAGTGTCACTTGCCTGGCTTGAGCATCTGAAACTCCAAAGGCCACACCTCTAATAGTGCCAGTCCTTGGTAATGAAGCATTCAAATCTATGAGCTTATGGGGGCCATTCCTATTCAAACAGCTACAGCTTTCAAAATTAATTACAACTATGATTTGTGTTTACTGTGGAAAGATTCTTTAAGGATCATTCATTCTTGGAACCCAGTGAAAAACACTGACAATTTGTCCTGTATTCCTCTGAGAATATGAATGGGGATGTAGAGAGTGCAACATCATTCTCCTTGTATTATGCTGTTGCTGCTTCGGTCATTATCAAGATATTTCCTGATCAGAGAATAGATGCATATGACCTCAATATTTTTATAACCTCAAGGTCTCAAGCATGAGATGCTCCAGCAGGTGTCACTCAAGCAAGCTTCAAACATGGAATGAAGGTGTGACAGCCACATGGAGGGAGTCTATAGAACCTGGAAAATGAGTCATAATGGCTTTGAGTCCTCATACTGTAACCATGAGTGAAGAGGCTTGAAGAAGCGGGAGAACACAAAAACAATATTTTAAAACAATAAGAACGGAGAGAATAAAGACCTGTGAAGGACCACTTCTGGGAAAAATAAACAGGGTGGACAGGAAGCAGAGAGTGCCTTAGCAGGAAATCAGGCAATAAATAGTTCCAAGGTCCCAAAGTGAAGTAGAGACATTTTTGATAGAGTCGAAATGCCAACAGTTAGAACCACTGTGTCTCTCAGGAAGGTAAACAGGCAAGATGATAGAAAAAAAATGGCTATTATAACTTGAAAAATAAAGCTGCCATGCCATGACCTTTGAGAAGATGCTTTCGGAAGGGTGGTGAGAGTAGAAACCTGACTACAGGAGTTATCAGGGGAATTCATCCATTGTAACTGAAGACAGAGCAGGGCAGCACTGTTTCTTAAGTTTATAACTTAGGGAAAATAATGAGATTCCTGCACAGGGAAACTTCGAAATACTAATACTTTCATATTTTCATTAGGAGAGGAAATCCCAGGAAGAGGGGAAGCAGTAACTCCAGAGAGGACAATATTAATTAGAGGTAGTGTCCCAGGACTAAGAACTGTTGGGGTCTATACTTAAAGTGAAGGGAAATAATTTTAATTAAGAGGAAGAAAAATTTCCCCTGAGCTTGGAGGACGTAATGA